TCACCATACGGTCACTTTTCGACCCACTAGAGTGTCAAGGTTTAATCGATTTCTATTTTTTTCACAGATTAGGTCATTTGCAGTGATGTGAAGTAATATGCATCTATTTTCGGAGTTTATGATGAAATTTGTTTGGCCTTGAAAAATATTACGTCATCCGTGATTGCATTAGATTTTTATCAGACGCCGACACTGTTGTCTCGACTATCGATTACTTGTCCTACGGTCATTGTCTGCAATCGACGTTACTCTAAGGAAGCGTACGAAAATTGTAATGTTGCATGATCACACTGGCAAACCTTACCAGTGATCAAATCAAATTACTATAGACTGGCCCGAAAACTTTCCTGATTTAAATCCAATAGAGAATCTGCGGTCAATCTGCAAGGGACAACTTCGTGCCATGAGCATACGAAGTACTAGCATGTGCAAAGGGTCATGTTTTATTGAAAAAATATGAAAATAAATCAGTAAATAATAATAGAATTCTTTGTTTTGTTTCAATTAATTTGCACAAGGGTGTATGTTTCAAGGCTGTTCGAATGTTGATTTGGGGATGTTTTTCCATCAACACCGGTCGTGGTAGTGGTAGTTATGAGTACGTTTTTAATACATTTAATAAAGGATTGTGATGTAATATAGTGGTTTTATGTGTGTTTATAGTTAGTGAGATTTTTATCTGGAGGCCTACGATTTATTTTCGACGTAATGAATTGTGTTCTTCTTCAGTTAGTGTGGCATTTGTAAAATCAAATTTGTCGCCAGTCTTGTTCATGTGTATTACAAGTAAGTTTAAACACTTGTTCCAACGTAAGTCTGTGTTGTGTTCATAGATGAAGGCTTTTAAACGTTGAGACGTCTCACCAATCTATGTATACCTTGCGATACCTTTATTTAACAAACCCCCGCATCGGAAATGGTAGTGTATCTACTTTTCTTTCTTATTATATCTCCTATTGTCATGGGGATTGTGATAAAACACCAGGGTTAGAGATCTGTTTTTTTATAAGACGTATCTCCTTAGGATGTAGGCGACGACAAATTCCTGTACTTCATAGTTCTTGATAATTTTTGTTTTCATTTCTCCTAACCCTTGCCTCATCATCCATCCACTGAAACCCGCTAAAAAGGATATGCATTGTTTTTCTCTGTCCTTTTTGTCTTCAATGGGTTCTGTGAGTTCCAGATTTTACAAGCCAATTTTCCACATTATGCGCCCTAGAAATTTCAAGTAGATGTTATTTTTTTTGTTTCTATTATTTCTAAAACTTCGTCGTTGCTAAAATGTTCCATCCATGCTATGGCCAGCATCCTTTTCTAGAACCACGCTTTTGTTGCTTCAAGTCTCTTCTTCATCTTTGAAGAAATTGTCCAGCATTCATTGCCATATTAGCGGACAGATATAACTGATTTATTTTTAAATTTTGTTGATAGAGTGTTAGAGGTAGAATTATGAATTTTGTGTTAGTGTTGATACGATTGCTATTGGAGGTGTCTATTAAAATTCAACTCATTTTTTTAACCGATATCGCGCCAGGCAAAGCAGTAAAGCCACAGAGACACAAGGGGTTACATGGTGTGGAAGAATTAGTAAGAGAAACATTAATAATGTGCGGGAAGAGAAAACTGTAATCATGAGACAGCGATTGACAATGTATTCAAATTTTTGCAGATTAAAGTTGGCTGGAAATCATGGAGTCGAAAGGGACGTTCACAAGCGAAAAGGGCGAGAAAAGAAACTGTTAGCATAGAATTTACGGTTACATCTAGCCAACTCAACTGTAAATTGATGAGATCACGACGCCAGTCTCGTACTGAGGTGAAATTTTAAAAGTCTAGGTACCATAGCGGAGAGCTCATCAGAATAATTGCCATGAAACTGTTTATAGAAAAGAAACAAGGAGGTAACATTATAGAGGTCGGAATGTGACTGAAGCCGAGCCGCCAGATAATTACCAATAATATTGCTGATTCTTCTTTGGATTTTATCAAGGAGCTCAGGGTAAATAGCAGGTGCACTGGACTTTATGCGGTAGCTATATTCTAAGCATGGGCGAATGGTAGACTTATAGATATGTAAGATAGATTCTTGAAAAGAATGTTGTATTGAACGACACAGCTAAATAACTATATATAATGTTGTGGGGCTCTCCCCTTTTTACATAAGATGGAATCGTTCAAATTATACTTATACTGACAGAGAGAATACCTGCTGTTGAGATACGTCTCGATCCACGTCGAGATACAGTCTCGACGTCTGTCGAACTCTTTGCTTTGCCAGAGAGGAACACGGTCGAAGCTTTGCCGAAGGGCAAAGTTTCGTCCCGGGAGGTAGACAGGCCCTGAACACGTCTAGGCGGGTTCAAAGGGGATATTTTTGGCCGAGCCTACGGGTTGGGAGAAACCCACTTTAAACTCGGCCTTGTGTCACATATATTCCTCGTGGGTGGGATAGTAAATATCGAGATACGTGGAGACAGGTTGAGAGATACGGAGACAGACACAAGTTGTTCTCAGAGAGTTATACAAAAGTCCAGAGAGAGAGAGAGAGAGATGATGATTACGGCTTTACTTATAGAGATTTGTACATATACTTTCTACTAACCTGCATTCCTGGACTACTAATCTTCACTTCAAGTCTGTATTTAATACACTTATTTTTCGATCTCAATTACTGACGTTGTTTATTTATTTGTGCAGAATTCCATTCAATACGTTCTCCGATTTCCCAATCCAAGCCGCTATACATTAATACGTATCAGTCTATAATCTTGAATATCGTTGCCATTGTCAACTGAAATTGTCTGCATTCTACAGATGACCTTGGGCCTAAAAACCTGAATGAGCTAATCTTACTGGACATCATCGTGGAGCATCGCCCATTGGTGTCAATCTTAATTTCTGTGTAATAACTTAATATAACTATTCATTTTCTTTTTGGTGAAATTTATGCAGAACCTTATGTTTGCACATACGGAGAAACTAGTGTATACATTGCTTCTGAAATTATTAGCTATGTTATATTATAATGATTATCCAAGCGTAGCTTACATGTGGCACAAGGCCGAAAGTAGGAGGCACCCACTGAGGATCGAACTCACTGCTCTGTCGTAATTGTTCTAGCTAGACAGGCTTGCTAACCATTACACCACCTCGAGGTGCCTAGATCATAGTGATTTTCCAAGCGTAGCTTAAATGTAGAACTAGGACGAAAGTGGGCGGCACCCAGTGACTCACTGTTAACCATTACACCACCTCGAGGTGCCCTTGCTACTTTATATTATATATGGACTTCTCAGTAAGAGTTGAAGTTGTGAGTTCAATACCTGGCCAGGGTAGAAGGAACAAAAACTTGGACAGTTTAGTTTTAAAAGGGAATTAACTGATACTTAGATAGCTAAATATTGCACATGTAATTTGAACAATGTATGCCAGTGGGCTAAATAAAGGTTTCGTTTCGAAATTCCAACGTGTAACACCTGAAGAAGGACGGACCGTACAACGTCCGAAACTTCATGAATATGAAAATAAAGATGAGAACAACAGTCCGAAAGATGTAAATATTGTAAATAGTTTTAAAAAAAAAAAGTTTATTTGAAAAACCTATAGAGTAATCATGCCGTTATTTCCGGGAATATTATCTTTTTTTTAAGCAAGGAAAAAATATTACGAGCCGCAGTGTTTAAGGTTGGATATTTCGTTCAATTTCAGGCAAGCGTCAGAATCTGGGAACGTATATACTGTGGAGGTATAAGGGTCGACAATAGGTTTGTACAGTTAAACTTTGAAAACCAGCTAGACTTGAAAATTGACATACAGAATGCTACTTTTATCTGGAATCGATCTGCAAACCCCTGGTTCTAGAGCTGAATACACAACTAACGCATCTACCAAACACTAGGCAGAAGAGAAAATTAAAGAAGAGGTACTTATACATAATCCAAATTATTCACAGCACATGGTACTTGACATGAGGACTGACGTTATATTCGGTAAATGAATACTGGGCTCTTTCATTCGATTTAAGTTTCTATTTTCACCGTTCGTCATCCAGTTTTTTTTTTCTTTCAAAGACTTTCGATATTTCTACACATCTCTCGATATTTTTTTTTCTTTTTCACTTTTTTTCCTCCCGTTCTTTTCCTCTTCCCTAATTCCAATTCATTTTCATTCACGCATGCACGCGAAACAACGTCCCCAAACGTCTCAGGCGGTGGGTCAGCAGATCCACATCGTCGCCATACGAAAATTAAGAATCCTTTTATTAACGCTATTCATGCTCTTTCCTTCTCATCTCTCTCACAAAGCGAAGTTCTACTCTCTCAGGAGACCGATGCTCTGTCATCTGTGAACAATGGAGGACGCCTTTTCGCGCGTCGAGAACCCGTAACAACCGCCATTTTCGCGGACTGCTCACTGAAAGAATTCCTATTATCGCGCATGCTCACTTGCTAATTGCCTATTTTGTCTGCTATCGAATTCGCGTGAGGTCGAGATGGCAACTAATGAGACCAACAAAAGGAAAAATTCAGGTGGAGAGATAGGAAATTTCATATTAGCAAAACGATGCAAGTTTTCTTTTGTAATATTTTGTTCTAGTTTATATATTTATTTTGTGGGTTTTTCGAGCCGGTGTATTGATAAAGAATCTTGTTTGGAGTACACGTGTATATGTGCGTATTTTAAATAGAGAGAGAGAGAGGCAGAGAGGAGAGAATGAATATAGGGATCAATCTTTAGGGATTTCGATTAGGATTGATCATCAATAAACTGCTCAATGGTGACTGAACAGAAGAGAAAAGCTGATCGTATGTTTGGATCAATTATTTAAAGAACCGAGTGAAATAAAGTGAAGTAGATAGCGAAAGTGAAAGTAGAAGCAAATTAAGGCACGAGGGAAAATTTTCAAAGGCGGGAAATGTAAGAGGGTTCAAAAATAAAACGATAAGAAAAAGAAAGTTTCTGAAGGTGAAACAACGGAGAAAACAAAACTACGACGATTAATGTAAGAAAATACAACTTACTGGTAGTAACAAAGAAAGGCAAGAAGAAGAAAGAGAAGGAGATGGAGGAAGAGAAGAAGAAGAAGAAAAAGAAAAAGAAGATGATGATGAAGAAGAAGAAGAAGAAGAAGAAGAAGAAGAAGAAGAAATGATGATAATGATAGGTTCAGAAATGTAAGATTTCAGAACAAAAATAAAATTGAACAAGAAAACGACAGAAGACGATAGAAATGGATTATTTAAGCAATAAAGAAAACTAGAGAAGGTAAAACTTTTCATGATGAAGAAAAGAAGAAAAGGCCGACACGAAAGAAACAGAAAGGAACACACAGAAATCGAAAATGAAATAGAATGTTGAAAGAAAGAAGAAAATGCAGAAAAAAAGAAGAAAATTATAACGACAAGAAAATACGAAACAAAATCTGAAGGTAAAAAAGAAAGAAATGACCTAAAAAAAAAAAAAACAGTGAAAAAGATAGAAAAAAAGAACATGAACGAAGAAAAACATGATAAATGAAAGAAAACATGAGTGGAAGCAGAAAAAAGAAGAAATTACGAAGGAGAACATGAAGAAGAAGAAAAAGGGAAAAAATGATGATCATGATAGAACAAAAGCTTAGAAAAAGAAGCCGGCGAAGATAGAAGTCGAAAATACGAAAAAGAATAACAATGAATAAAAGAGAACAAAAACAAAAATGGTAAATTTGGAAGAAATGCAGTAAGAAACGATGAAGAACCTGAAGAACAAGAAAAAAGAAAAAAAAACGAGATAAAGAACAAGAAATGAAAAAAAACTATGGTGAAGAAAGAAAAATCCAGAAAAGAACGAAAACGACATTGATAACAGAACTCGCCAATGTAATACGATACCAATTTATTGGTTAATGCCATTTTGGGGAAAAAATCGTATGTTTAGAAAATCCATTGAGGAATGAACTGATTATCAATGGTTTTCGAGAAAAGCACCTTTTAAATGGTATGAAAGCAAATGCAATTAAATGCAAACCCGAAAATGATAATAAAACTAAAAGCAATGTAGGTGTGAACAAAAAGCCAAAAGATCGAAAACAACTCTTGATTGATTTGCATTTTATGGTTTGTAAAACATTTGCAGCTTATTCAAATCTAACAAATAATTATAGACGTTGAGAATTTTTTGGAGAGGCTAATTATTTGCCGATGCAATCCCTACTATTTAACCCATAGGTGGGAGCATGAAGCGGTAGATACATATCTAGCCAAACGGTTGCTGCGCGTAAATGGATATAATTAAAGCGACTGGAATTTGAACTCGATTTTCCGATTTTCAATTTTGTGCTATTATTCATTACACCATCTGCAAATCCAAGTGTACAACACCTGATATTGATAATCGTTAATCCATCTAGATACTGACCAGGCTGAGAAAAAACAATTTATTGCTAGCATGTAAGATATAAAAGAAGAACTTACGAGTGCAATGGACAATTATTATCAATGAAACAATATTGGAAGAGGTGTAAACAAGGAAAAGAAACTCATCAATAGCATGGATCGACCACAGAAAGGCGTTAGACGGTGTACTGTACTTATGGGTACAGAAGAGACTGAAAATATACGTGCCCCACAACGGTCAAATTCATAACGGAGAACAGGACAAACTGGAAGACTATACTAAAACTAAACCATATATACGGCTCATTAAGATCGAGACCAATCAACATGAAAAGCGGGATTTCCAAAGAGATTCACTGTAATCACTACTCTTCTACCTTGAGTTAGCGCCACTCAGCTACCTACTGAACAACAGTAGCTACGGATAGAAGTCACAGAATGACAAACTGAATCACCTATTCTATATTGATGATCTTAAAATGTTTGCCAAGGATAGCAATCAAAAACCTACTCACCATTATCAAAACCTTCAGCGAAGATTTTAGGATGGAGTTCTCAATCGACAAATGTGCTAAAAACACCTTCTAACGAGAACTACAGAATTAGATCTTGATATTAACAACAAAATTAAGGAACTATGCCAAGATGGTACATGCAAATACTTCGGAATTAATGGAGAAGATGGAATACAACATTCAATTATGAAGAAAAAGATCCCAAAAGAATATTATAGGAGAGAGAGAGTGCGTTTGATATAAGAAGGCGAACTAAGTGGGGCCAATAAAATTAAGACCATAACCACATTACCTGTACCCATGGAATTTGAATGATATTAAAAGATTGGAGGTCAAGACCAGCAAAATGCTTACCCAAACGAAGATGCACCAACCGAAATCAGATTTTGATAGGTTGCATGTACCAAAAGCTTGAGGAGGCCTAGGTCTAATCCAACTTGAACTAACTCTAACAGCTACAGCAATCAGATTGGGAGCATACCTAAAGAAAAACAATGACCTTCACCTACAAATAGTAAAACACCAAATCCACTCCATCAACAAAGAAGCTGCACTATTCAGGAAACATCTTAATATACCTGAAACTATAAAAAAAAAGAAAAAAAAAACGAAGCGAATTCCATCTACTCCAAATGAGTAAAACAGAAAGCAAATCAACTTGGCCAAATAAAATTACAATACAACTTGGGTGGGGGAGGCGTTGCACTGCAAATACCTGAAAAGAACGAAAGAAGCAGATGTGGACTAACAGAAAACACATCAGTTGCGGAGGAACACCGGGTTGAAAACTGCGACAGAAGGCCTTATTATTTCAGCCAAATCCTCGCAAATAGATTCTATCTCTGTCACATAATTAAGGACGGAACTAGCTCAAAATGCAGGTTCTGTGGAAAATATGATGAAATTGTCGACCATATTATCTCAGTATTTCCGGAACTAGTAAAAATGAATATACACACAGACATAAAAAGTTAGCGGCATACTGGAAGATATGCAAGAAGCACAAAATCGAAATCATTGAGTGATGGCATAAGCACCAACTAGACATAGCCAAAATAACGATGTAAATATCCTCTGGGACATGCCAATGTACACTGACAGACCTGATATTATCGGAAAAAGACAAGAAATTCAGTTGGTGTATGATTATTGACGTAGCAGTAGGAACACCTCTACGAAAATTATCAAGAGATTGTCCAAATGCAAAGGCCTGGAAATCGGGATTAACAGGATGTGGGGAATGAAGACTGAGACTGTACCAATAGTAATCGGAGCACTGGGCCTCGTGAGAAAAAGGAATGGACAATTTTATTAACATTATCCGAGGTAACATCAACATACAATTTACACAGAAGAACGCACAACTCGGAACGTCCTATATACTAAGAAAAGTGCTATCAATTAAATGATAATTCTCTTACAGGGCCTAAGGAGTATACCCTGGACCCGGCTCTTCAAGATACAAAGCAGGAAACATAACATACAAATAATAATAATAATAATGACGCGGAATAAAACCTCCTATCCCATCACATCACTTCAGAAGTCTGCATTGCTTGTCTCTGAAAATATTCTTTTTGAGGTCGTACAACATGAAGAACACCCATAATGCAAGATATCCGGTTGAAAGCGAAACTGCGCGGAAGAAATAATAGTTATAATTATAATTATAATAATAGCAATAATAATAATAATCAAGTACAGCCCACACTTTACGAAGGGCTTTATCTATGTATTTTTTCTTTTGTCAGTGGAAAGTGTCATGATGCCATTTCTAACCTTAGGTCTCTTGGCAGGACCCGGAAAGAAATGTGTAAACGCCAGAAATCAAAGGAAATAATAATAATAATAATAATAATAATAATAATAATAATAATAATAATAATAATAGACACGGACAAAACAATCAAAACTAATCGTCCAGACATCGTGAAGAAAGACCCCAAAAACAGAATGTGCTTTCTTACTGACATGGCAGTCCCTGAAGATGTAATGTATCCTTGAAGATCTTCAAAAAAATATCAAAATATAAGAACGTGCTCATATACACCGCTCTCATACTCACAACAAAATCTCATTCTAATTGTATCAATGTCATTTCGAAGAAAAAAAACACTTTCCGTTTGTCTAAGTTCTCAGGTAAAAAGAAATTGAAATCATTTCCTCAAAGATGAACATATAACATGAACCAAGACATATGTAGTGCTACAAAAAAATGCTTAGAATGTCTTTTTCCAATGATGTTCATTCTGTACAAGGTCCATGGCTTACACATTAAGAGGCAGCACTTCTAGCAAAGTGAAAATGCCACCAAGACGCAAGGCGCCGCCTAATGTCAAAAAAGTAAGAAAATACTTTAGAATGAATGGGAAACCAAACCTTAAAACAGGAAACGTAAGTATAAACCTCTGCTCCTATTCAAAATACCGAGGAGGTATGTGAACCGGACGATAGGCGAACCTATCTACTATGATTAAATACTTTAAACATAAAATATGAGCAACGTGGAAGTTTTAATAAACAGAAATTAGATGAAAATTTAAAATAAAAAATAAGCAGTGGAAATTTCGGGGCAACTTAATGAGAAAAGAAGATTTGGGGAGTTTAATACTCACAGGACATATTGATGGACGAAAGAGCAAAGGTTAACAGCGAGTAAAAACCAAACTTTTTTTATGTGAACTGAAAACAAAAAGGTATGGTAAAGAGTCAAACTTTCTTAGAATTATTAAGGTAAGGAAGCTGTAGAGAGCCACGATCATCCATGTTATAAAAGAACATAGCACATAAATGAAGATTTCTATTTTCACTGTAGATTAAATTGTCACATTTCCAATTTCCTTATTTTTATTTCTCTTAGCGCTTGATTTCTCGTTTTATTTCCCATTTGAAGTCGACAATAAAATATATTTTAAATGTTTAATTGAAGTTGCCATTCTTTGCACATTATTCTCTTGCCAGAAATTTTCTCCCCGGGTCTTAGTGTATTGCTTTTCTTTATCTCATTATTTATTTAATATATTTTCTTCTTCATATATTCATCGTCTGCTTTCCTCCATTTTAGCCTGCCATTTTTTTTTTTTTCATCCATTTTCACAAACTTTCTGACATTATATTTTGCTTTATTTTATTGTTCCTATTCAGGTTTTTTTTAGCTTTCCATCCGATCCCTGAGCGATGAACAAAGTTTAACCAAACAAATATATCAGAGTCAAACAAAAAAAATAACAACTTTTAATTGGAATATCGTACCAGAAGAAAGAAAAAAAGACGTTTTATCCTTTCATGATATGACAGATTTAAATTGGATGGTGACAAAAGCTTGTTGGTCAAGTGTGAATCAATGTGAGTTGGAAAACTTTTTCTTTTTTTTTGGTAGTGTCAAATTATCGTTTCTCTCTGCCTCTGTGTACAGATTAGATATGAGTCCAAGAATGGAAGTGTTTCATTGCTTGTCTCTTTGAAAGTGCCATACAAGTTCTTAACAATTCGTAAGAAAATAATGAACATATGTCTTGTTTCAATCTATCAATCGATGTCTGTTCATATATCTTTCTCAGTACACACACACACACACACATATATATATATATATATATATATATATATATATATATATATATATATATAAATAAAAAAGGAACAGTAAGATATATAATCCGTTGTTCTTATATATATTTTTATTTTTACAAAATAGTGCTGAATGTAAATTTACAGAGCATTAATATTATAAAATTAATTGATTTAAAAAACCATATTTTAAATCAACTAATTTATAAATATATATTTTAAATCAATTAATATAATATATATATATATATATATATATATATATATATATATATATATATATATATATATATATATATATTTACATATGTGTATGTATATGTTGATTGTTTATGGGTGAAAATACTAATTTCAGTGAATTGTGAATGTCTATGACGAC